AGCGCGGGGGGAGGACGGCGGGTTTGCGGGACGCCGGCGCGGCGGGGAGGTCGGGAGGGGCGCTCCTCCGAGTTGTGTGCGGGGAGGCACGGGCAGAGCCTTGCGCGGTGCCGATGGCCCGCCAGGTGCTAAGGAGCGGCGCAGGCCCCGGGACCTGTCGGATGTGGACCGCAGTGGGGCCAGAGGCTGAGTCATGAGGGCTGGGCGAGAGCCAGGGCTGGACTCCCCAGGGCGCGGGGCGGGCGGGGGGCGGCCGGTGCCCAGCGCCCAGCTCAGGCCGGAGGAGCCAGCGCCGGGCCCTGGTGGCACCGGCCTGGCTAAAGGCAGAGCCGTCATGAGGCCTGAGCTGGGTCGTGCCCGCCTCTCCAGTGCACGGAGAAGGCTTACGTCTTGGCCCCGAGGATGATGGTACGTGGTGTAAAGGGCACCTAGCCAGCAGGAGGGGGACAGGCCAGGCCAGCAGGGGCGGGAGAGCAGGGGATGAGGACCTTGAAGCGCAGGTCAGAGAAACCAGATTAGAAAACTGTCCCAAGACCAGGAAAGGGCGCAATCCCGAGCACCGAGTGAGAGAACAGCTGGAGGGGCCCTGCCCTGCAGCAGCAGCTTCCACCTGGAACAGCGGGTGGCTCCCCTCCTGCACAGGCACAGGCCACTCTGCGCAGCCTGGCAGGAAGGAGCAATGGCAGGCGCTCCTCTTGCCGGTGGCCAATTGCTGGATTGTGCCAGAAGGGCCCGGCGCAGGCCTGTGGGGATGGCCTCAGGTCAGCCCCACACCTCCAGCCCAGGCTTAGGTTTTGCTGTGTTCAGTGTCTTTGGAGGGATGTTTGAAGAGTAAGTTTTTCCACGTTTTACGTATGGGCATCCTCAGTGTCACAATTCTGTAAATGGTTTTTCTTCAGATCATAGTGTCTGAGCCTTTTTCATGGAGGTTTTACTTACTGTCCCACAGATAGTCTAGGGTTGCTTTGTTTTTTATTTCCCAGAGAGCATGTGCTCGTGTCTTAGACGGGGAGAGAGCACCCCTGGGCGGTGTGGGCATGCTGTGATCCTGTCGCCGTGTCCCCATGCCGTCAGGGTTTGGGCACACATGTGCCTGGCGTGCTTTCTGTTCTTATTTTTTAATTATTTAATTTTATTTCTTCTTCTCCTGCTTGATTTTGACCAGAGAGAGACAGACAGAGAGAAGGAGAGGGAAAATTAAAAAGCAAGCCACCAGGTCTGGGACTCAAACCACGGTCTCCATGTAGGAGTTCAGCGCCTTAACCACCACGCCACCTGCTGGCCCCCTTGGTGTGTTTTTCAAGCCTCCCATCCTGGGATTTGAACCACACAGTGGGTCAAGTGGGATCCAACTCCCTTAACCACTTGATCATGGTGCCGGCCAATCATCTAGGTTTTTTGGAGGAGAGGTTTTTGCTGTAGGGCACGTGTACTCGCCAGACAGACAGAAAGAGAGAGACAGAGAGACAGAAAGCAAGAAATCTCCCCCACCCCCCGGCGGAGCGGCTCGAGCAC